AGAGAGGCCCAGGTTGGTCTGTGGGGTATGCACACCGGTCTACCGTGCCACAGTCTGAGCTTTGAAAACGAAGTGTACATTGGCTTCAGTCCCCTCCCCCAGCATCATGTCAGCAAGAGGTGTGTGCAAGCTTCTCCAAGGCCTGGTGGCCGATGGGCCCTAAGCCTCAGAGCTGTCGGCGCTGAGGCTGTCTCCGTCCAAGTGATTGGCTCCTCAGACATATCCAGACTGACAGCTAAACACTGCTGTGGCAAGGTGAGCTTCTTACATATACTTGTACTCCCAGACACAAGGATACTGTGAAGAGGTCTTCTGCCCAGCCTCAGGGGAAGAGGCAGAGCAAGTTGCTTTCTGCACAGCATTGGAAGCAGGACGGATGGGCGTTCTGTTCAACAGGTGAAAAGGAAGCAGCACCAGGAGCCTCTGTCAAGTAAGCACCACTTTATGGCTAGTGAAGCTTAATTCAAACCTGCAATGGAAATTGTCTGGGGGTAACTGAGCTCTAACTTCACGATCTAACACTTTCAGTTACTTTATCTTCCCTCATGCAGAGTGAAATGGCCAAACATAGGTGTGCATTGTGTCCTCTCTGAATGCACCTTAAATCCAAGAGATATGTGTGCTGTGAATAGGACTTACAACTAGGTTTAATGGTAGATGCTGTTGGGACTCCTTCAGCTGATCATCCTTTCATCAGAACAAAGCTATTCTCTGGGCCAGAACTCCATGGTGTGAGCAGTATGTAGTCTGTGCAATGTTTTTTGTTAGTATTGTGAGCAGTTCTGTGCCTTGAGGTGTGTGGTGTCTGTCTCTTGACTCTTGTTTTGTATGTGTGTTCTGTGTTGTGATCCTGTGTGAGGATGTATGTGTAGTGTGTCTGTGCGTGGTTGTGTGCAGCATGTAGTATGTGAAATGTGTGCTCTTTGTCTTGTTTGTTTCTAGGTTGCTTTCACCTTGCATGTAATTTGCTCCTATGTGATATGGAAAATGGTAAACATTGTAGTAGAATGTGGTCTTCTCTGTACACCCTCTGTCTCAAAGATGTAAGTGGGCTTCGAATAGGCCTTAGCACTAGCCACATGGGAAGTTGCAGAACAGGATTCTTTTAAATAACAGCCGTGGAGGAAAGTCAGCTTTGTATTCAGCTTATGTGGGTGAAAGAAAGAAGCGCAGGATGCCCCAGTCAAGGAATCATTGACATTGTTGCAGTGGATGCTGAAACTGAGCTTGCAGTGTGCTTTCTGTGTCTGTCCTATGGCTGGTGAAGCTTAATTCAAACCTGCAATGGAAATTGTCCAGGGGTAAATGAGCTCTAATTTCACTATCTAACACTTTCAGTTACTTCCTCCTCACTCATGCAGAGTGAAATGGCCAAACGTAGGTGTGCATTGTGGCCTCTCTGAATGCACCTTAAGTCCAAGAGACATGTGTGCTGTGAATAGGACTTGCCACTAGGTTTAAGGGAAGATGCTGTTGGGACTTCTTCAGCTGATCATCCTTTCATCAGAACAAAGCTCTTCTCTGGGGCAGAACTCTATTAGCCTGAACTAACCATGTACATCACAGCTCTCTCTTTATGATCTGCAGGGGGAAAGAATCCTTTGCTATGATTCTAAAGCCAAATGCTTAAGGGCAGTCCTAAGACTTCTGCATTCAAGCACACTGAAGAAAGTCTTTCATGCTTGGCTCTTTTCTCCATAGGTTTGGAATCATCCAGGAGGTCCTTGTTTCCTGAGGGCGCTAGAAAAGGATGCAAAGAGCCACCTCATCCCTTTAGTAGCAACTCCCTGATGATGCCTTTGCAGTAAAGAGTCAGACACTGCTGCAGGAGAGAGCCTTATGCCAGACCTTGCTGGGGAAACAGTCCACCGTGCACTGAGGGGACCCTCCGTGGGAGAATACTAGGTTGCTTTCGCCTTGCATGCAATTTGCTCCTATGTGATATGGAAAACAGTAAACATTGTAGTAGAAGGCGGTCTTCTCTGTACGCCCTCTATCTCAAAGACGTAAGTGGCCTTCGAATAGGCCTCAGCACTAGGCACACGGAAGTTGCAGAACAAGATGCTTTGAAATAACAGCAGTGGAGGCAAGTCAGCTTTGGACTCAGCTTACGTGGGTGAAAGAAAGCAGTGCAGGATGCCCCGCTCAAGGAATCACTGAAGTCGTTGCAGTGGATGCTGGAACGGAGCTTGCAATGTGCTTTCCGTGTCTGTCCTGTGTGCCAGCACTCTAAGAACCTGAGTGAAGGGTGCTGTGTAGAGCTCTCTTTTGCTGAGCGGCAGATGCTCGCTTGTGTGGCCATTAACATGAGGCCTTGCTGAGGAAGCCTGGCTGTCAGAAAACATGCCCGCATACAGTGAATTTAGCTTGGAAGTTTAAAAAGTCGCTTTTTTCTCCTACTTCTTGTCTTCTTTAGGGAGGCCCAGGTTGGTCTGTGGGGTATGTAAACTGGTTTACCGTGCCACAGTCTGAGGTTTGAAAATTAAGTGTACATTAGATTCAGTCCCCCAGCATCATGTCAGCAAGAGGTGTGAGCAAGCTTCTCAAAGCCTTGGTGGCGGATGGGCCTTAAGCGTCAGAGCTGTTGTGCTGCAGAGAAGGCGCTGAGGCTGTCTCGGTCCAAGTGATTGGCTGCTCAGACATATCCAGACTGACAGCTAAACACTGCTGTGGCAAGGTGAGCTTCTTACATATACTTGTACTCCCAGACACAAGGATACTGTGAAGAGGTCTTCCGCCCAGCCTCAGGGGAAGAGGCAGAGCAAGTCGCTTTCTGCACAGCATTGGATGCAGGACGCATGGGCGTTCTGTTCAACAGGCGAAAAGCAGGCAGCACCAGGAGCCTCTGTCAAGGAAGCACCACTTTATGGCTAGTGAGGCTTAATTCAAACCTGCAATGGAAATTGTCCTGGGGTAACTTAGCTCTAACTTCACGATCTAACACTTTCAGTTACTTTATCTTCCCTCATACAGAGTGAAATGGCCAAACGTAGGTGTGCATGGTGTCCTCTCTGAATGCACCTTAAGTCCAAGAGATACGTGTGCTGTGAATAGGACTTGCAACTAGGTTTAAGGGAAGATGCTGTTGGGACTCCTTCAGCTGATCATCCTTTCATCAGAACAAAGCTCTTCTCTGGGCCAGAACTCCATCAACCTGAACTAACCATGTGCAGCACAGCTCTCTCTTTGTGATCTGCAGGGGGGAAAGAATCCTTTGCTAGGATTCTAAAGCTAAACTGCTTAAGGGCAGTCCTAAGACTTCTGCATTCAAGCACACTAAAGAATGTCTTTCATGCTTGGCTGTTTCCTCCACAGATTTGGAATCATCCAGGAGATCCTTGTTTCCTGGGGGTGCTAGAAGAAGATGCACAGAAGTGGAGTGTCCTGGCGAATAAAAGCAGTGCCCTGAAGATGCCTTTGTAGTAAAGTGTCAGGATCTGCTGTAGGAGAGTCTTAAGCCAGACTCTTCTGATGACACAGTCCACCGTGAATGAGTAGACCCTGCCTGAGAGAATACCAGGCTGCTTTCCCCTTGAATGCAACTTGTTCCTATGTGATATAGAAAACTTAATAAACATTGCAGTAGAAAGGTATACACTTAATCTGTTTTTTGTTTTTTTTGTTTTGTTTTGTGTGTGTAGTATGCTGTATGTGTTGTTGGTATATGGTAGTTAGTGTTTTGTCATGTGTTTTTTAATTCTGTTTGTATTCTCTGTTGTGGTATGCTGTGTGTACTGTGTTCTTGTGTGTTTTGCATTGTCTTGTCTATTCTCTGTGTGTCTTGTTTGTTTTCTCTCTGTTCTGTGTTGTCCGTGTTGTGTGTATTTCGTGTGTGATATGTGTGGTACGGGTGCCTTACTGCTTGTCGAATACACTGTTCTGTGTGTTTTTCTCTGTGTGCTGTGTTATGTGTGATGTTATTTGTAAGTTGTGTTGTCTGCATTGAGTGGTTCTATGTGTATTGTATATCTTGCCCTTTTTGATGAGTTATGTGTTGGCAGCTACATATGTTGTGTGTTTTGTGTGTGGCTTCCTGTCTAATGTGTAGTGTGAAATATATCTTGTCTTTCTGTCCTCTGTTGTGTTATGTACTGTGTTCTGGGTTGTGTAAGTGTTGTGTATATGCTTTTTGTGTGTTACATACAGGGTAGATGTTGGGTGGTCTGTGTAATTTGAGCATTGTGTGTGATGTTGATTTAGCCTTGTGTCAGATGTGTTGTGTGCCTGTGCTCATTGTGTGTGCGTTTGTGGGTTTTGGTTCATTTTATCTGCACCTGGGTCTGTGTGTGCTCTATGTTGCATGCTTGTGGCTGTGTGTATTGTCTGTAGTGTGTTATAGGTGTGGTGTGTATGCTTTTGTTGGTTGTATGTGGATTTGTATGTGTTGTACCTGTTTTGTGTGTGTGATTTTGATTTGTGTGCGGTTGTGTTAGAGAGTTTGTGTGTGTGTTTGGCAGTTTGAGCTATGCACATGATGTGAGATGTGTTGACTGTGTGTGGTTGTGCTTGTTTAGTACGCCTCATGGTTTGCACAGTGGTTTTCATGTGTGTTGTGAGCTGTTATGTGCCCTGAGGTGTGTGGTGTGTATCTTGTGACTCTAGTTTTGCTTGTTTCTGTGTTGTGTGTGTGTTCTGCACTGTGCTCCTGTTTGAGGATATGTATGTGGTGTGTCCGAGCATGGTTGAGTCTTTAGTGTGTAGTGTTTGAAATGTGTGCTACTTGTCTTCTTTGTTGGTTATGTGTGTTTTGCCTATGGATTTTTGAGTGTTGTGTGTGTTTTCCGTGTGTGATTGTGATTTATGTGTGGTTGTGTTTGAGTGGTGTTGTGTGTGTGCAGTTGTTATGTTTGTGATGTGAGATGTCTTGTCCTTGTGTGGTTGTGCTTGTTTGGTCTGTCTTGTTCTGTGTGCTGCATGTACTGTCGCAAATGTGAATTGTGTGTTTTATGAGAAATGTGCTCTGTTGTGACTGGTGTGTGCCATGAGCCTGTGTTGTTACTTTTTCAGTTTTGTGTGTGTGTGCATTGTGTAGTGGTTCCTTGTGTGTATATGTGTATGGGGTGTCTGAGTGTGTTTGTGTGTGGGGTGTGTACATGATTAACAGTGGTTTGTGAGAAATTTGTGCCTTTATGTCCTGTGATGTTTGTGGTGTATGTTGTTTCATCTGATGTGCTTTTTGCATGCTTAGTCTGTGTGTGGTCTCTTTGTGTTTGTGGGTGTTTACTTGTGTTTGTTGTGGTATTTCTTGACTTAGTGTTGTGTGTGGCTTTATGTGTGGTATGTATTGTTTGTGTCGGTCTGTTGTGTTGTTCATGCAGGGTGTTGTGGGTGTTATGAGCTGTGATGTTTTATTTGTGTGTGCTGTGTGATGTATATTTCTGTGATTTTTGTACTATTTTGTGTGTTGTGTTAATGTATTGATGTGTTTCTTTTAATGTGTGTGTTGTGTGTGCGATGTTCGTGTTGTGCGTCTTTTTGTGATGTGTTTTGTGTTTGTTAGGTTTTGTGTTATGTGTGAAGTGCGTTGTTTGTCTTTTGTGTCCTGGCTAGGGTGTGTTTTGTGGTGCTTGTTGTGTGATTCTGTGCGTATTCTGTGTTGTTACATTTTGCCTGCTGTGTTATTGTGTGTTTTCTGTTGGGATGTCTGCGATCTGTTGGTTTAATGTGTGTGGCGGTGCTTATGTGGTTGTTTGTGTGTTTCCTGTGTGTTGTGTTCTTTCTGTGTTGTGACTGTTGTGTGTGTGATGTGTGCAGTTTGGGTACTTTGTTGTTTGTAGTGTAAGTTCTGTGTGAATTTGTGGAGTTCTGTGTGACTGGTGTGGTTGTGGGTGGTTCGGTGTTGGGTGTTGTGTGTTTGCAGTGTGTCTTTGTGTTGTATGTTTGGCATCATTTGTGTAGTGTGTTGTGTTCGTGGTTGGGAATGTTATGTCATCTGTGAATGGTTTTCTGTTTCATGTTTAGTGTTTGATGTACCACACATATGTTGTATGATGTCCAATGTATTGTGTTTTCAGTTGCATGTGTGTTGTGTGTACTCTTTTCAATTTTTTCATATTGTGCATGTGTTGTGTCATCTGTGTGTTTTACGTGTCATGTGGGCAATTAATTGTGTGCTGTGCTGTATATTCTTTGTACGTATATTCTGTGCTTTACATTATTCTGTGTGGACCTCTGTGCTGTATGTTTTATGTGTGTTTTGTGTGATGTGCGCAGTGCGCGAAATGTGTTTCATAAATTTGGTGTTATTTTTGTTGTGGTTTGTGTATTTATTGCACGTCACTTTGCATGTGGTGTGTGTTGTGCGTGTTTTGCGTGTGATCGTGGCTTGTGTGCGTGCTTGACAGGTTGTGTGTGATTGGCTGTTTGAATGAGGAGTGCAATTGTGATGTGTGTACTGTGCGTGGTCATGCTTGTTCAGTGTGCCTCACAGTGTGTGTTGTGTTTACTCCGAGAACCATGGTTCATGTGTATTGTGTGCAGTTATGTGCTCAGTGTGTGGGGTTTGTTGTTTAGTGTGATGTGCTGTCTGTGTGTCGAAAGGTTGTGTGTAAACTCTGTTTTTGTGTGATGTTGGTCTTCAGTGTGTGTGTCGTATGTGTGGCCTTGGCGCTTTCCATGCGTGTGGTGTGTCTGTGTTTGTTGTGTGCTCTGCGTGTGTTGTGTAATGTGTGTTGTACTGTTTGTGTTCTTTGTAGTGTGTTTTTTTTTGTGCCAAGTGTTGCTTAGAACATTTTTGTGTGCGTTGTGTTGTGTGCGCTGTGTGTCGTTTTGTTCCTTTGTTTTATGTCTCGCTGTGTGGGTTGTGTGTTATGTGTTCTTTACTGTGTGTTGCGTGTGTTTAATCTGTGTTGTGCTCTTTGGTTTTTCTTTGTGCAGTGTGCTGTTTGTGTTTGTGGTTGCTATACGGTAGTGAATGATGTGTGGTGTTTGTTTTGTGACTGTGTGTGTATTCTGTTTTTCCATGCTGTGTGCGCTGTGTGTTTTGGGTTGTGCTGTCTGTGATCTGTGTGCCTTGCTTATTTTCTGTGTATTGTGTGTTGTCCGTGTTGTGTGTGTTGTGTATGGACTATGTGTGGTGTGAGTTCCTTAGTGCTGGTTGAGTACACTGTTCCTTGTAATTTTCTCTGTGTGGCGTGCAATGTGTGACGTGTGTGGCTGTGAGTTGCGTGTTGTGTGCATTGGGTGGTTCTTTGTGTGTTGTATATTTGTTCATCTTTGATGCGTTATCCATTGGTGTTTGTATATGTTGTGTGTTTGGCTTACCGTGTCCTGTTTTGTGTGTAATGTGTCTGGTCTTTCTGTTGTGTGTTGTGTTACGTACTGTGTTCTGGATTGTGTGAGTGCTGTCCATATGCTTTCTCTGTTGTGTTAGGTACAGGGTATATGTTGGGCGTTCTGTGTGTTTAGAGCGTTCTGTGCGGTGTTAGTTTTCCGTTGTGTCTGATGTGTTCTGTGAGTGTGCCTTTTGTGTGTGTTTCTGTGTTTTGTTTCCTGCTGCCTGCGTGTGGTTCTGTGTGTGCTCTATATTGCATGCTCGTGGCTGTGTGTGTTTTGTAGTGCATTATAGGTGTGTTGTGTGTGTTTTTGTTGGTTGTGTGTGGATTTCTATGTGTTGTGTCAATTTTGTGTGTGATTATGATTTGTGTGTTGTGTTGTTGAGAGGCTGTGTGTGTGCTTGGCAGTTTGAGTTATGCACGTGATGTGAGATGGGTTGACTGTGTGTGGTTGCGCTAGTTTAGTATGTCTCATGGCGTGTGCAGTGTGTACTCTGTGCACTGTTTCTCGTGTGTATTGTGAGCACTTATGGGCTTGAAGGGCGTGGTGTGTGTATTGTGACCTCTCTGTTGCCTGTTTCTGTGTTGTGTGTGTTCTGCGTTGTGCTCCTGCGTGAGGATGTATGTGTGGTGTGTGCGTGGTTGTGTGTGTAGCGTGCAGTGTTTGAAATGTGTGCTATTCGTCTTTCCTGGCTATGTGTTTTTTGCTCTATGATCGCGTGAGCGTTGTGTGTGTTTTGCGTGTGTGATTGTGATTTGTGTGTGGCTGTGGTTATGCTTGGCTGGTAGTGTTCTGCGCATGATGTGAGATGTGTTGACTCTGTGGTTGTGCTTGCTCAGTATGTCTCATGCTGTGCGCAGAACGTTGTGCAATGAATTTCACGTGTATTGCGAGCAGGTGTGTGCCTTGAGGTGTTTGGTGTGTGTCTTGTGACTGTTGCGATGCATGTTCCTGTGTTGCGTGAACGTGTTCTGTTCTGTGTGCTCTTGTGAGGATATCTTTGTGGTGTGTCTCTACATGGTCGTGTGTGCAGTGCAGCATGTAGTGTCTGAAATGTGTGCTATTTGTCCACTTTGCTGGTTACGTGTGTTTTGCCTCTGGATTGTGAGGGTTGTGTGTGTTCTGTTTGTGATTGCGATTAAGGTTTGGTTGTGTTTGAGGGGTTGCGTGGGTGGCTGTTACGTGTGTGATGTGAGATTGGCCGTCTGTGCGTGGTTGTGCGTGTTATGTGTGCCACCTTACATGTCCTGTGTAATCTCCCAAATGATATTTGTGTGTTTTGTGAGCAATTATGTGCTTTTTTGGTGACATGTAT